AGTGCACGTACCCTGTGTGAAGTAACATAGTGCACGTACCCTGTGTGCAATGGAAGTTTTAAGCCAAAACAGCTACACCTTTGTCCCTTCTTTGTGGAACGGTAGACTTCATTTAGGTTTTGTTTAGCATAGCATTTGGACTTCTTTCTTGTTTGTTTTTAAATGTGCTTTATATTTTCTGTGTCCTGGATGATCATAAACTGCAGATTCAGAGCCAGCTTCTATGTCTCACAGTAAAACTGTTCAACACACAATAATTTTATTCTATTTCACTCTCGCACTGACCCCTTCAATCACCCTGCCTTTTGATTTTTTATGTTATTGCCAAAGTCACTTTTAATGGTCATCATATTATAATGCTTACCATGTACTACACGTTCTGTTATAACACTGGGGTATTAATGTAGTATTTGTATTGTGTTATTATATATTTTTGTAATGTTGCTCTGCTGAAGGTTACTTGTACTTGTGTGAAGCAGCTTTTAACTTTGTTTGCGTACGTTGTGAAAAATGATTTTGAACCTTCAACAAAGTTCAGTCAGGTGATCTAGACTGTTTTGTTTGTTTTTGTTGAGACGTTTCATCTTTCATCCAAAGGACTTCACCAGCCACAACAAACTCAGTCCCACAAGCAGCACACTCACACAGTGGGCCAACCAGTTTGCCAGTGATAATATGGTTTCTGGACTCTGCCCTCTCCCCTGTTGACTCCTCTGAGGCAGCCATAGCCAAAGTGGTTCAAAACATCAAAGTTCATGCTCAATGATCCAGGTAGAAAAATCCAACAAAGTTCAGTCAGGTCATCTGAGCACTTTATTTATTTGTTGTTGTTGAGACATTTCGTCCTTCATCATTTGGACTGCTGCTTGTGGGACCAAGTTTGTTTGTGGCTCCTTGGATTGATGAAGTCCTTTGGATGAAGGACAAAATGTCTCAACAAAAAGAAGAAACTGTCCAGATGACCTGACTGAACTTTGTTGGATTTTTTTACCTGGAGTATCGAGCATGAACTTTGAGATTTTGAACCGTGCTTTACTGAAAAACAAGAAAAGGTAAATCAGTCAAGACTTCTTGGATTCCAGTGATTTTTGCAAAACATGTAAAAATGTCTCTCGTTCTTAAATTATTTTTATAAGTAGATATAAAATTCAAGGTGGGAGTAGATACAGAGCGGTTGCAGCTGTGCAGGCCGTCGGACCAAAGAAGGAACTGGTTTCTGACAAGACAACTGGCTGGAACAGCGCAGGGTGAGGTATCTGAAGAGGATCGCATGTAAGGCATTCTCCTGATTGTTCTTTTTCAATGCACTGGATAGAGCAACAGCAAGATCGCAATCTATTTCTTTCTTTACTGCTGTGAGTCAAAAAGAGGACATTTATTTTCAGCTCACTGTGTTTATGGATGCATTATGGTCTGCAATCTGCACCACAAGCTGCATTATAAATAATATTGCTGAATTTCGAAGCTAAGCGGCTAAAATTAAAATGAAATAATGTGAACTCTTATTTTGGTGTACACCATCATCTCCAGTCTGGATCTCGGCTGTGTAGGTGTGTGAAGTTTTGCATGCTCACTCTGTACGTATGGTTGTTTTCGCTACTTGCAAAGTATTTCTTCCCACAGCCTAAAAACATGGATGAGTAGTTCTTAGGTGATTGTAACTGCAGAAGTGAAAGTGTGTGTGTTTTATGTGACGTTGTCTCTGCAGTGAACCAGAGATCTGTGCAGGATGTTCCCTGCCTTTTGCCTGATGACAGCCGAGATACTGGAGGTTCTCGCCCATCCACCCAAAACAGAACAAAAGAGGAAAATTAAAAATGAATGTAAGTTTTTAACATTGAGGAAGAGTGAGTTGAACCAAATTTAGCATAATTTGATTTTCAAAGCAGAGAAGAATATGGAACAGGCACAACAAATCTTTACATGTTTATTGTTGTCAATGGCAGACCCACTCACTGGGTTAACATGAGCAGAAGGTGGATCTTAAAAGGAACAGCTGTGATCTCATTTTATAAATTCAATTACAACATAAATTGTAAATGCTTGTCTGTTTGTTTCTATCTGTCAGTAAAATATCTTATGAACTATTAGACAGATTTGAATGAAAATTTCTGGAAGTAATCTCTGGATCTGAGGTTTAGAGTCAATACGATTCAAGATGGCTGCCACAGCTAATCGAACTTACGGCACGAAAAAGACTAGAACTCGGTCAGTTTTGAAGATATTAAGCTAAAGTGGTAGTAGCTGAGAGTGATGCACACCACATTCTTTGTGGACAAGATTGTTGTTTAAAACTTTGGCAGTAAGTTTTGGAGTCAACCCAGTTCAAGATGGCTGCAATGGTCAATCAACTTTAGCCAATAATAATAATAGTTCTAACTCTAAATTTGACAGATATACCACTAACTATGGTTGTGGTAGTAGCTGAGCATGATTCCCATCACAGAACATTAACAGATCACACGAGCTCCTGCAATGTTGTGTGCAGCTACACATAAGATTACGCTCAAGATTTGAAAATAAAGAATAAAACACCAAGATTTTTCAATTTAAGATAATCTTAGTTTGTATATCTGGGATGTAAGGCTGCAGGTGCATGCATTCCTTCAAGGACTTCAAAGCCTTTAAACTATTTATTTGATCAACTAAGATCTTGTCATCTGTTGTGCAAATTTTTATTACATCTGTCCAATAAACATTATTCTTTACTTTTAACAGATTTTTTTAAAGGGTAAGATGACAGCTTTATTTATTTAATGCCCACCCCCTCCCCGACACACACACATGAACACACACACATGAACACACACACACATACAACAAACAAGCGGTCTTCTTTTTTTGGGGCTCCTGATGTTTGATCAGGATCATATTTTAAATCAAATCATGATTTTGGCATGTGTGTGTTTTGTGCTTTGAATATTTTATTTTGACATTTTTGAAAGTGTAAAATAATTTTCAAAATGTTCTATTTTGCGTATATTTGTACTTTTACCTACACCAATGATCTCAGTACTTCTGCTTGACAAAAACTCATAAAGCAGTAGTTCTTTGCCTGTTGTAGAAAGTTTCTGAGTGATTGTTCACATGAGGGACTCCATCCCTCTAACACTCTGACACACAGAGACATAGTTAAGCTCCGCCCCTCTGGCTTCAGCCAGGGTGTGATTACCACCAATACAATCTTGGTCAACCTGCTCTGAGAAAGAGAGAGAGAGAGAGAGAGCTGGGGAGGGAGGGAAGGAGAGACCAAAAGAAAAAGTGGGCAGCTACTCTGGTGGTTCTTGTAAAGGCGTCCCTGTTTGCTTCATCTCCTTTAACTGAAGCATTGTGGCTCAAGCAAGTCTCTATGAAAGAACTTTTACCAGTGGACATATCTAAAAGGATAAAAAATAGTTGTTTTTTTAATTCCAAAACTTTTTTGCTTGCCACTTGGACCTCCTTTTATGGGATTCACCAACTTTCAGCAACTTTTTTAAACCTGTGGAGAGCTTGGATGAAACTGATTGGAGAACGAGTTGCCGCCTACAGAAGCGTCCCAAATCCTTTTTTTCAAAAGATGTGGAGCCACCACTACCCTCTGAGGAGACGCTTACGGTGCAAAATGTGAGCACCAGATAAAGAGACGAGAGCGGATTCTTTTGTACAATGCAGCAGAACTCTTGTTTCAACTGTGATTGACTGAGCTGAAGCAGTGAACGATGAACAACACAGAGAAGTTGTCCTACCATGAACCAGTGGGATACTGGTTCCTTGTCATCGTGGTCAACATCATCCTGATCACAGTAGTGGGAAACCTGCTGGTCATTATTGCTGTGGCGCGGACTTCACAACTGCAAACTTCAACAAACATCTTTATCATGTCCCTGGCATGTGCAGACCTCATCATGGGAGTGCTTGTGGTGGCTCCTGGGGCCAGTTATGTTTTGACAGGTAACTGGCTGTTCGGTGTGATAATATGTGACCTCTGGACTTCAGTTGACGTCCTCTGTGTGACAGCGAGCATTGAAACCCTTTGTGTCATAGCAGTGGATCGGTATATAGCCATCACAAGGCCGCTGAGGCACAAAGTTCTACTTTGTAAGTTCCGTGCGAGAGTAGTAGTTTGTTTAGTTTGGGCTGTGTCCGCTTTAATTTCATTTTTCCCAATTATGAAAGGGCTTTGGCGTGCCGACGACCAACGGACAGACTGCTACAACGTGTCCACATGCTGTGACTTTATAACAAACGCTACATATGCTGTTTCATCCTCCGTAGTGTCCTTTTACATTCCTCTGGTCGTAATGATCATTGTGTACACAAAAGTCTTTGTAATTGCAAAACGGCAAGTCCGGCTCATAGACAAAAATCGGATTCGCTTCCAGAACGAATGCCCAGCAGCACAGATTCAAACTGGTCACAGCATCAACCACATCTTGCCTTCAGCAATTGTTGGCTCCAGCATCTGCAACAATCCCATAAGGAAAAAGAGCTCTAAGCGGAGGCCATCCCGACTACAGCTCGTCAAGGAGCACAAGGCTATCATGACTGTAGGTATCATCATTGGGACCTTCACCGCGTGCTGGCTGCCGTTCTTTGTTGCCAACGTCATCAATGGATTGAGCAATGGCATTATTGACGAGCGTATCTTCCTGCTGTTAAACTGGCTGGGTTACATAAACTCTGGCCTCAATCCAATCATCTACTGCCGGAGTCCAGAGTTTCGGGCTGCATTTAAGAACCTGATTGGGTGTCCATGGCTGCCCACCCAGTGGCTAAATGCTTTCCTCAAGGAACTACGAACCCGCTGCTCCTGCTTTCTGTGGCAAAAGTTTCCCGAGGGTAGGACTGAGATCAGTGAGTGTTCGGTCAGCAGAAGCATGGAGGCATCTCTTGGTCCTTTGCAGACAAATGGCTGCGCACACTTCAACGACCGCTCACAGCCAGAAACCAAGTTGTAAGTTTTTCTTCTGTCATTCTTACCAGTCTTTAAAGTAAAACAGCTCAAGTTTGTACTAATGATTATCTTACAGATCTAACCCCACAAGTACAAAAAGTACAAACACAAGAAGTGGGTGGTGCTGTCTGCTAATATCATCAAACTTTACACTTTGTTCTTTGATTTTAAAGAGAAATTAGTCAAATAAATTGTAAAATAAACATATCATATTGATTTCTGAAATCTTACAGCATCTAATCAGAAAGAAACTGGACTTTATTTTAGACTTTAGTGCTAATAATTATAAAATATTAAAAGACCATCAGGGAGACAGAGAGTTTAAGATTTACTTTTGTGATTTACACCACATGTCGAACATGTGACATTTGAGGGGATCTCCAATAATTTCAGTTTCACAATTAACATATGAAAAACTGTAAAAGTAAAAAAAAATGGAGCTAACTTTAAATGTTGAATTCATTTGTGAACTTCTATTTTTGACTGCAAAGTTGTCGTTATAAATGATCATTATACCAGAAGATGGTGAAATGACATCAGAGCATTTTGAAAGTAAGTTTTATTCTGCCTAAAAATGTTTTGTTTACCATAAATATTTCTTCCTTTGTTCTGAACTCCAAAAGCAAATACATGAGCTTTGAAATGTGTCATGTGCTGGCATTCACACCTAAATACACGTCTTCTAAGATTTAAAAACAATCTTCGTTCTGCAAATAAAAGTTAAATTTTTGGGTTTCAATGAAAAAAAAGAGCTGTTCTTGTCATTTAATGAAACAAAAAGGAATCCATGTTTGGATATGCTCTATTATAAGGGTGTGCTGCAAGCCAAAAGTGAACTAAACAAAAGATAAATCCACTCTAAAGTATTGGCAACTGCTGGACTCGTACACAAACACAGCTTTAAAAAAAAAAATGGAATGTCAAATTTGCACTTTTGAGTCTGATTCAATAAACACTTGAGTTTTATTTTAGTGTCACTTACTGAGAAGAGCACAAATAATGGCAATGTGAGAATTAGCCTTTGAAATGAATGAAATATAAATTCTTGCCTGATGCAGCATTTGAGGCATTTTATTTTAATATTCATTATGAAGAAAGCTCAAAAAGAGAAAAGATAAACAAAACAGTGTTTCATGGTGATACATATAAATTAACATTTTTAGTTAAAACCAGTAATGTGTTGTGTTACAGGCAGATTTGGCAATAAATGAATGACTTTCATGATACGTACGAACAAACTACTGATGTTGCTGCCTTTCTGCCTGCCTGTGCCCTGCCCTGCACCCTGCGCAGCAGATAAATCTTTATCACATAAGAGCAAGACTTCCTCGTGAATGCACAGGCTGCTGTTTACCAATGAGCAGCAGCCAATCAGAACGTCCTTGTTGGTGGAGGTTACCTGTGGTTGGACAGCTCGGTGTTTGATTCATCAGTGTTGTCATCCACCAGCTGACGGGCGGCCCACTGTACACGCTGTACGCCATACATGATGCTATCAGTGGAATCTGCAGAGGAGCCATTACATAACAGCTGGTGGTGACATGTGATCCATTGGCTGATACTTAAAAAATAGATATTTTTCCATTAAAAATTGAAACTTGCACAAATAAAAAAAGCAATCGGCTCTCGGAAAAGTTTCTTTGTTTGTTTCTTGTTTTTTTAGATACGTTCACAGTAAAGTCATCCTAAAATCCACATCAAATGATATTTTATTGTTTTATTTTGAAATGAATGGTTGTATATTCAATTCATATGCAAATACTAAAAAAGAGTTTTTGCTTTACAAACTTGAGTCAAAACAGGAGTTGCAATTTACCATCATGAATTAGCACATCTGCAATCTCAAAGCACGGTCAAAAGCCTAAACTCGTAGTAAAATATGTTTTTAAATAAAGTAAATGACACATAAATAGTGGTTATTCAACTGTAGAAAACAAATGATAAAAAAACAGAATTCTTATTGCCGTGTGAACCATCAACAGGGACTGAGTTTTATGGACTGAGCGAGTGTCATTTAAAAATATTTGCTTTACAGGTTATCTGTCATTTATAACCTCACATGATATCCCATTCATGGTATTTTAAAGACATCAGCAGGCACACAATACAAATGATATTTATGGTCTAATCAAAGTCTTCCATAAAAGGAGGCCGTGTTGGTAATTCACCCCCAGGGAAGGCTCAGCCAGCTCGCTCTGCGCTTTGAGCAGGATTACAAATGTAAGCACAAGAGCAGACGCTCCAACATGAGTCTGACGGCATAAAGAGCCAAAGACAGATATTTAATGAAGGAAATGACCTGCTGACCTGGTGAAACTGCTTTAGATGTTGCTTTAGAGCACCATCAGTGAGCGTCTGTTAAAGCATGGATATATTTAATTTCCCTTTGGGATTAATAAATTATATTTGAATTTGAATGTCATCCCTATGAGTTCAATAAAACAAAAAAAGAATAAATGCACAACTGAGCACCATAAATCCTTCAGATATGCACATTATATAAACTCTGTTTTATTTTGTGTTATTGTTTTTCACTTTTATCTTTCTAATTTTCTTGTTTCATGATGTAACCACATTTTACTGAACATAAAAAGTGTTTTATTAAATGTGGAAAAATAACATTTCAACCATTTATATAGGACAATAATAATAATTTCAATCAATTTGGACAGAAATAAGCAACGATTTTGCAGTTCAACAAAATATTCAAACCCAAAAAAGATCCTACCTCAGCCGATTTCACAAGCTAAAGTTTGTTGTGGTAGTATTTGTGTCATTCACATACAGTATTTTAGTCGCACAAGACCCATTTGTGAAACTTTGCCAACACAAAAATGGCTGTAACGCAATTAATTTATCTAGATTTTGAGCTAAGTTTAATGTGGCAATTGCAGAGAGCCATCCACAACACAGTCTTTGAGCTCTAGCACGTCTCCTGAGATCCCACAGAACGGCATGAGATGAAAACTTTGACCAAAACATCTACAGCCTAGTTCCTGTTCAGCCTCAAATGCTCAAGTTTAGGTCAAATTTAGCAAGAAAAGCAGAAGTGGGTGTTTCTTTAAGAAATGCAGGCCTTTATTGTACATATTGTTCTGAAATAAACTTTGTGTTAAGCTGTGTAAATACTGGATGCTTGCAGCAGACTTCTTTTCTATGGGCCTGAAATGTATCCCTCCTTCTTTCATCCCCTATTCACATCACATCACATGTAGTGGCCAAAATACAGTCTTGTTTATCGTGAACATCACTGTAGTGTAGAAAATACCTAAAATGGTAAGAAATGTCCAAATTTATAGATAACATCCAAACAAAAACAAGTTTTCTTTCTGTGTTTTGCAGCAAATTCTACTTTTAACATACAAATGAGTTTTTCTAACAAATCATAGGGCCCTGAACATTAGTGCTGGTTAAGTCATGGGATGATGTATTGCAGGACTTATTAAAAAAAAAAAAAACAGTTAGATATGACCACTGAGTTGACTGAGGAGAAATGACTGCATTATCAATAGTTACTTTGTTTTCATAGATATACATGCTGGCACATCAGCACGGTCTTATCAACATTTAGAGCAACCTCCTGCTTGAGTCACGCACAACCCAGATCACAGAACAAGCACCATGTTTTATACCCCGCCCCCCCTCAAAACTCTCAGTAATAGTTTTTTAAATTTTTTTATTTGCTTGTCAAGTTGATCTTAATAACATCCATATCGGACACATTTTCCTCAAAATCCTAACCTATTTGCAAGATCTTGCAGTTTTATGAGCAGATGGAGTGTGTTAGTGCCGTTCATGCATCGACTGAGACACTAAAATTAAGCTAACAGAGAGGGGAACATCTGATTTTGAAGAAACATCAGCCACAACCAGCTTCTGGGCTAAAATGTGATGGCTGAATGAAGAGGAGAAAAGAATTCAAGGATTCAAGTTTCTTTATTGTCATTCGTATCACATGTAGTACATGTTGTGGAACGAAACTGTGTACACAGGGTCCCAGTTACACCCAACAACAGGAAGAATATAAATTGTATAATAAACAGTAACAGGGATCTAAGATGTAAACTATGAAATACACTAAACTAAGAATACAATTTAAAAAACAGTACTCCGAACAACAGCAGCACGAACGAGTTTGTGTGAGCAGATGAGTACGAATGATCACAGCAGCATGAATAATCAGTAGAGATGGGGCCGATACGATCCAGTATCGGTATCGGCCTCTGATACCAACATAATTTACGTATCGGATTTTTCCGATCCACCTGCCGATATTTCCGATCCATGATGCAAGTTGAAATATAAATAACTTTTTAAACTATCACTTAAAATTAATCACTTTAATATCCACTTTAAAAGTAGGAATAAAAAGAAACATGTTTTGTGTTAGCAGAATTTAATTCTAACTTTAAAACTTATCCGAAATTAATACAACTTACCTCAAGTTGCCTTTTTGGACATGCATGCATTATTTGTACAAATTGTACTTGAGAGGAGGTTATTACAGCCTCGTATAAAATCAATGATGATGATATCGGAACTGGATCGGTATCGGCCGATATCCAGACTTAGGTATCGGGATCGGATCGGAAGTTTAAAAAAGTGGATAGGTGCATCCCTAATAATCAGCAGCATGCGATCAGCAGCATGGATATTATCAATCAAAGAGGCATTACAATGATTTTTTATTTTTTTTGTAAAAGAAAACTCCACCTCTAGATCTCTGATCAAATACAACCAGAGCAAGCGCTTGTTATTAACCTTCGGGGTGGGTTTGTCTAGATGGAGCTTCAAACGAATCTGACATGGCAGAAAAATCAAAAGTTTACTGGAAACTAATTTTGTTTTAAATACAAAGCATCATTACAATAAAAATTAGCTACTATGGTTTTGAATGATTTGACATTTTTAGCAACTGGGAGCTAAAAAAAAAAATCTTGCCAGAAGTAGTGAAAGATGACGGCGAAAGAGTAAATACTGAGCCTGTAAAGGCACTGAGAGAGACATTAGTCCAAACGAGCTCATAAACATGTCAGACACATGAGCTGCCAACTCTGAAGCTAAAAGAAGATGCTGTTTAGAAGCAGTTTCTGCAGTACTTAACCATGACTGTGTTGCAGGAACAAACTGTGTCATTATGCTGGTAAATATGTTAATAGAATTACATTTTCTACTCGTGCCTTCTGTATCCTCTCTAAACGTTTTAACATGCTTTGTTAATGTAAAATATTTCTTTCCAGCTGTTTTGCATTGTGCACCTTGAGTTGCAGGTTAATTACAGTGTTATGTTTGTTTCCTTCAATTAGAAAACAAGTAATTTAAACTTGAAGTTAAGCAAGGTTCTGCAGCGAGCGTGTATCAATACAGCAGCTTGACGTGCTGCATGTGTGACAGGAAGGGTCATGCGCGTTCTTCTGCTGTGAACCCTGTAACGCTGAGCTTTACTCTCGAGCGTGCTAATTGTGCTTCAGCCTCACACGACCTCACGTCTGCGGTGCGTTTATGGAGCTTAGACCGAGGTCAGGCCCAAGAGAGCATGAAACAAGAAGCAGGAAAAAACAAAACATGGTGCTGGTGACCTGAAGCAAACCACGACACTTGGTTTTTTTTTTTTTTTTAATGCCTATTATCTGAAGCATGACGAGTCTTTTAACAGATACAGCCGAGACGTTAACACTGAAGAAAGAAATAACCTTGTTTAGAGTAAACACAAATACTTTAACCCCTATGCCTGCAGCTGAAATAAATGTCATGCAATAAGATTTATAATACTCATTATGCTCATTTATGTTTCATAAAACTTTCACTACTAAAGGGATAGTTTGGTCATTTTTGAAATGATATTCCATCAAACAACCTCAACTGGCTCCTCTCAATGTGGAGGAGCAGCGGTTCTACTCCAAGTTTCTCCTGGGTAACTGAACTTCTCACCCATATCTCTAAGAGCTACCCTGCGGAGGAAACTCATTTCAACCACTTGTATCCACAATCTCATTCTTTCAGTCACTACCCAGAGTTTATGACCATATGAGGGTAAGAACGTAGACTGTCCAGTAAACAGAGAGCTTCACCTTGCAGCTCAGCTCTCTCGTCACCACAACGGACCGGCACAGAGTCCGCAATACTGCAGACGCTGCACCAGTCTGTCAATCTCACGCTTCATTCTTCCCTCACTTGTGGACAAAACCTCAACATACTTGAACTGCTCCACTTGAGGCAGAACCTCACTCTCAACCTGAAGAGAGCAATCCACCCTTTTCTGACTGAGGACTATGGCCTCAGATTTGGAGGTGCTGATTCTCATCCCAGCTGCTTCACACTTGGCTGCAAACCACTCCTGTGAGAGCTGAAGATCACGGCACGATGACGCCAACAGGACCACATCATCTGCAAAGAGCAGAGATGGAATCCTGAGGCCAACGTACCAAACAGACAGTGTCATGTAAAAAGATCTAAGAGAAAGCCTGGAGAAAGACGTCAGCTCTTGTTTTCATACTCCATGCTCTGATGTCAGGGGTGATAAGGTACTAACCATACCTTGTAGACAGAACAGCACCTCAAAAACAGCAGGACTGTTCCTTTAATCTAAAGCAAATTGATGTCTTGAGTTAACTTTTACTTTTAAGAGGACACATATCATTTAAGATATTTATACGTTTTTTGTAAAATCCCAAGTTAAAATGAAACATCTGGACAGCATAAATAAAAGTCTGGTAAATTTAGAGTAATTTTTATGCAGGGCTGTATTTTAAACATTTTAGTACGGGTCATTATCTTGGTGTTTAGCATTTTTGTTATCTTCATTGTGTGCATCCAAGACTTTCAATTTACTAGAATTTTAACAAATGCATTTAGCATTATAAAACTTCTGCATAAACTTTAATTTTAACAGAACTTTCTCACTTGTTAAATCATAAAATTATATATTTTTTACCTTTTAATAGTTTTTAAAACAACTTTTAGAACCATCAAGTCTCAAAGCTAAAATCAAAAAACTAATAGGAGTCTGTAATACTCTAAAACCACATACTGTGAAGTGTTTCCTGCGGGTTCATTTGGTATCCACATTCACACGTCTGTGAAGTTTAAGGTGGTTTACATCTTCCTGGACAGACATGCTCAGCGGAAGTGATAGCATCAGAAGGCATCTCTTGTTGGGGGGCCGAAGAAAAAGATGAGGGAATGTCCTGTAATTACCAAGAAAAATAAATAAAACAGAAGAGTTGCTGCAAGGATGCTGGTTTCTATAAGAAATTCTAAAGTAACTTGTAAATATGGCTGCTGCTATTTTTTTTATCTGATGGAAACTAAAACGTTGTTCAGGGTGTGCCTGACTGGGACCAAGAAAACACACAACACTGAAACCAGGGACCAGCCTGTGATGGAAAGGCTCCAAATTATATCAAATATCCTTTAGACACCAGACAAAGTAGTACTGATAAATACTTCTTTCTTTGTTTTTGTTTTTTTTATATATTTAACCGGCAGCACGGTGGCGCAACTGGTAGAGCTGCTGCCTCTCAGCAAGCAGGTCCCTGGTTCAAACCCCGGTCCAGGGGCCTTTCTGGGTGGAGTTTGCATGTTCTCTCCATGCATGCGTGGGTTTTCTCCGGGTACTCCGGTTTCCTCCCACAGACCAAAAACATGCATGTTAGGCTGATTGGTAACTCTAAATTGTCCCTAGGTGTGAGTGAGAGAGTGAATGGTTGTTTGTCTCGTTTGTCTCTATGTGGCCCTGTGATGGACTTGCGACCCGTCCAGGGTGTCCCCCGCCCCTCGCACAGTGATTGCTGGACATGGGCACCAGCGACCCCCGTGACCCAAAATGGAATAAGGGGGTAAAGAAAATGGATGGATGGATATATTTAACCTTTATTTATACAGGTAGTCTCATTGAGTCACAAGGGCTCATTTTCAAGAGAGACCTGTTTTAGCCAGACAACAACATACCGAAATAAAAAGCAATTAAAATAAAAAACAGTGTTATATAAACACTGTTACGGTTAGCATCATGATCCTGTTAGAAGTGTTGTTCTGTTAGCAGTGAGGTTCTCTTAGCAGTGTGGTGCTGTTAGTACCATGGTCCTGTTAGTAGTGTGGTCCTGTTAGCGATGTGGTCCTGTTAGCAGCATGGTTCTGTTACCTAT